TCCCTTATGCTAATCGTTATTCCTAACAATGTACCTGTAGCAGTGACAACAGACCAGTATGCCAATAAAGCATAACTTTTCCTGAAGAGTGTGTTTGGATCTGCTTGCTGTTGATCCTGACAGAGACATTGTACAGGAGGCAGCAATCACCACCATCTCAAAGAAAAAGAAATGCAAGAAAGCAAAGTGGATGTCTGATGATGCTTTACAAATAGCTGAGGAAAGAAGGAAAGTGAAAGGCAAAGGTGAAAAGGAAAGATTTACCCAACTGAATGCAGATTTCCAGAGAACAATAAGGAGAGATAAGGAGGCCTTTCTGAATGAACAATGCAAAGTAATAGAAGAAAACAACAGAATGGAAAGGACTAGAGATCTCTTCAAGAAAATTGGTGAAATCAAGGGAACGTTTCATGAAAAGCTGGCCATGATAAAGGACAAAAATTGCAGAATAGGTTAGGAAAAGGTGGCAAGAACACACAGAAGAACTATACAACAAGGATCTCAATGTCCTTGACAACCACAATGGTGTGATTGCTGACCGTGGGCCTTAGAAAGCATTAGTAACAACTAAGCTAGCAGAGATGACGGTATCCCAACTGAGCTATTCAAAGTCCTAAAAGATTATACTGTTTGTCGGGTAGCCCTGTCATGAGATGTGTTGTTTTCTCGGATGGCCTGTTTCCCTTTTGCAGCTGCTGCTTCTGTACTGAATATCTTATCTCGAGCCGACCTTGAGCAGCCGGTGCCTTGAGTGTGAAACTGCACTGTCTTCCCACTTTCTTCCCAAACTGTTACTACCTGCACTTATGTAAAGCTGCCTATTGGGCATCACATGTCAGGGGCCCTTGTATGAAACCCCTATAACTGCAATAGCCATTTTGAATAGCTCATTCCTTACTTAGGAGTTCATGGAGTTACTATATATCTCTGATCATTAAAGCTTTACCTGCTTGAGGACCTGCTGTTGATACTGACTTATTGGGAACCCTGACACTGTTAAAGTGCTGCACTCCATATGCCAGCAAATTTGGAAAATGCAACAGTGGCAACAAGATTGGAAAAGGGTCAGTTTACATTCTAATCCCAAAGAAGGGCAATGCCAAGGAATGTTCAAACTATTGCACAATTGCACTCATTTCACACGCTAGCAAGGTCATGCTCAAGATCCTACAAGCTAGGCTTCAGCAGTACATGGATAGAGAACTGCCAGAAGTACAAGCTGGGTTTCAAAGAGATAGAGGAACTAGAGATCAAATTGCCAACATTTGCTGGATTATGGAGAAAGCAAGGGAGTAAAAAAAAGGGGGGAAACTCAACTCAAAATGTAGCTGTGGGCTAAGAGGGTCATGCTAACAAATAAATTATTATAAAAATATGCAAATGTTTATTAGGGTGTACACATGAATAAAACATACATAAGGTTAAAAAGAAAGTCTAAATATCAGACTCAAAGCTATATCATTCAAAGCTGATTGTTATACAAATCCAATTGATGGGTAAAACCTTTGACCTAAGGACCATACGCGTTTCGGCCCCTTCAGGCCTTCCCCAGTGGTCAATATACTTTATTTTACAATGACACACATATAAGCATATATATATATACAAGAAGGGGGACCCGGGATACTCATGGGGGGGGGAGAAGCTCCACGGGAGGAGAAGTAAGCGAGCCTAAAATGAACAACAGGGAGCAGTTAAGAAGGAAAAAGAATTAAACAGTTTCCATTTATCCCTGAATTCTGTTTTTGTGGATATTTTATTGATATGGGGGAGATTTAAATATCCCCCCTATATTTTTTCAAGTTTTCAGATTTTTCTGCACACCAATTGTGCAGTAAAATCTCCCTGCCCCCCAGGTGCTCCCACTGTGTGGATTTAGATATCCGCATGCAGGGGGCAACTTGGGAATTAGATATATAGATGTGACCAGGTATTGCTTTCTTATATGCTTTGCATTTGCTACAAGTTAGTATGTTAGGCCATAGATAGTAGCTGTGCAAATTCTCCAAATTGTTCAGATAGTAAATATCCCATTCGTCAGGATGTGTGTCACTGATGTAGTGAGGAGGACTAGGGGTGTGCAAAGAAAAAATATTTGGTAACATTTGGATTTGGAATTTACTGATCCAAATATATTCGGTATACCCCAATTTTTCTGAATACCAAGATTGGTATGAATACCCTATTTGGGAAAGGATGACAAAGGATGAGATGATAAGACAGTGTTACTGATGTGACAAGCATGGAGTTGAGCAGGCTCCAGAGGGCAGTGGAGGACAGGAAGGTCTGGCGTGATGTGGTCCATGGGGTCATGAAGAGTCAGACTCAACTATGTGACTGAACAATAACAACAATGTACATATATGTCAGTCCATGGAGACACTCAAATGTGGCCCTCAACTGAATTGCACTCTGCTTACAAATCTGATAAAGTGTTGTTAATGAAAAACTGTGCAGCCAATCACAGCACATATGCAGCAACATATAACCCGTGCCAAGACAGAAAACCTGCTTATTTATTTTAGTAAGAAAACACCATCCAAGCATTCATGGAGTCCCAAATGGTAGAGCAAGAGAAGTGCTAGGGATAGAGCTAGGGTTGCCAGGTCCCTACCTTCTGTCAGCCTTTAAGGATGAGACAAATTGACAAGGAAGAAAAGGCACATGGATTTTCAACCCAGCATTTTAAAGTATTTTGTTTAGATTTTGCCCCAGTTTGTTAAACCATGTTGAGAAATGAGACTGATATTTGCTTTATGGATTTATATTT